GAACTACTGACAGGAGCTTTAGTGTGGAAAGATGCTACAGCACCAAACCAACGACACCAGCAACAATATGTGAACACAAGGGCAATGTCAGGAGCAGGTATTTCCTGAGCCAGCTCTGCAGTGAACTTGGAGAAAGCGTGTTCAAAAATGAGAGCACTCAAATCAGCTGCTGCTGTGTCGCCAGTGCCACTAACGGTGAGTGTGGTCCTGTGGGGGTGGGTGAACAAGGGTTGAGAAAGACATCTGAGCAAATCCCCATCCGAAAGGGCTGGTCAGGGGAGGCACGAGAGCAGAGATCAGGTATAGAGTCTTAAAGAGAGTTGACAGAGAGCGTCCACTGTCCTGTGTACTCTGAGCAACCCATCCCTGCCTGGCTGGGTACCCTCACCAACCCATCAGCTCCTGCCTGGGTACCATCACTGCCCTCCTGGGTACCACCACTGCACTCCTGGGTACCCTCACTATCCCATCACCTCCTGCCTGGATACCATTGCTGCCCCATCCCTGCCTGGCTAGGTACCCTCACCAACCCATCACCTCCTGCCTGGGTACCACCACTGCCCTCCTGGGTACCATCACTGTCCCATCACTGCCTGTGTGGGTACCACCACCGCCCACCTGGGTACCACCACTGCCCACTTGGGTACCATCACTGCCCATCACTGCCCTCCTGGATACCCTCACCATTCCATCACCTCCTGCCTGGGTACCATCACTACCTGGCTAGGTACCCTCACCATCCCATCAACCGCCCTCCTGGGTACCCTCACCAACCCACCACCTCCTGCCTAGTACCATCACTGCCCACCTGAGCACCACCACTGCCCTCCTGGGTACCATCACTCTCCCATCACCGCCCATCTGGGTACCACCACTGCACTCCTGGGTACCCTCACTATCCCATCCCCTCCCTCTGGATACCATTGCTGGTATCACCACCTGTCTGGGTGCCACCACCGCCCTCCCGGCTTCCATCACTGTCCCATCACCGCCTGCCCATTTC